GTCTGCACCCGGTGAAACGAGCGCGCGAGTGGGAGACGTTTAAGTGAACGAGCGTCTGAGCTGGCAGAACAGACAGAGACGGAGAAACGGACGAAGGAAAGAGGGAAGAAACGACAGGGACGCCTTGTGTATCGTGTGGCGCTCTGCAGTGCGACATTCGACGACAACACACGCTTGTGCCGCTTACCATCCTAGGCCGGCTGCTAATCAACTTTCGTACACGCTCTTCCGTTCGGCTCCGCTGGCGTTCTCCTTTGTTCTCTCCTTCGACCTCGAGCCAGTCGCCGGTCGATCGCTCGTCGATGCGCCGATTTTTCACCTGGCCCGAACACCTACGAGCATTCAAACTAATTCACTCCGAGGGCCACGTATGGAACCGTTGATTCGAAGCTGAAAGACCACGTTTCATGGAGTTCTTCATCAACGAACAACTAGAAGTTCGACTGCCACGAACAACGAAGAAATTTTATCCAAAGTATCGAGAAGAGTAACGATAAGAATTTGACTGTCGAAGTCGTGAATTTGTAATTAGTAAAAGAAAAGAACGTCGAATCGTAAACAGAAGTAGCGACCAGTGTTCGACGAGGACGCTTTTATTCGAGCAGCGAACGAACCGACGCTCAGCAGGCAAAGCCGAAGGTTTGAGAAAGGAAAATACGCTCGAGTGCAGTGCCCGCGACACGAAGCGTCGACGGAGGATGTGCACGCTGCCCTCGTGAAATAAGCCTGGCCGATGCCTTCCGGACAACGATCGCGTCACGAACGGGATGTGAAACGAGCCACGTGAATGTTGTGCGCCAGTGAATCTTCCTTTCCGCCAGGCGAATTATTCTGGACCGGCATGGAGCCCGTGAAAGCCAAGTACGTACAACTAATCCGTTATTCTGATAATTCTTCTATGTATTCGACGTTTTAACATGATTCTATGTTCGGAGATGCACTTGCGTAAGAGGCGATTGTTTCGGAGCATTTGTTTTGCGATCGAGCTGTATCGTAGAAAGCCGCGTTTTCACTGACATGGATCCTAGCTACAGTCGCTCGCAAAAGTCGAGCTGATGGCCATACGTTTGGGTATTAGAGCTGAATACTTAGCATTCGTTATATTGCCACGTCTATTGCGAGTGAAGATTCTTGGTTATATTTACATTGTTCATATTTTGGCGCGTTACTTCTACTGTGGTATTGTTACTCATTTATTATTTCTACATGTTGTATTTTCACACACTGCCACGCGTTGCATCTTTACGCATATCTACGTGTTGAATCACCACACGTATTTCTATCTGTAGAATCTCGGTGCAGTTTTATACACTGAATCCCCACGCGCGTTTGTACGCTCTGAATCGCTAGATGTTCTATGGCAACGGGTTGTATTTGGACGCGTTGGATTATTCTACGCGTTGTGAGCTCAATACGTATGGTAATTCAGTGCGTGGTAATTCCACGCGTGGTAATTCCACGCGTGGTAATTCAGTGCGTGGTAATCCCACGGATGCAATGCGTGGTGATTCAGTGCGTGGTAATTCCATGCGTGATGATGCAATGCGTGGTAATTCAGTGCGTGGTAATCCCACGCGTGGTGATCCAATGCGTGGTAGTCCAACGCGTGGTAATTCAGTGCGTGGTAATTCCACGCGTGATGATGCAATGCGTGGTAATTCAGTGCGTGGTAATCCCACGCGTGGTGATCCAATGCGTGGTAATCCAACGCCTGGTAATTCAAAGCGTGGTAATTCAGTGCGTGGTAATTCCGCGCGTGGTGATCCAATGCGTGGTAGTCCAACGCGTGGTAATTCAGTGCATGGTAATCCCACGCGTGGTAGTCTAACGCGTGGTAATTCAGTGCGTGGTAATTCCACGCGTGGTAATCCAACGCGTGGTAATTCAGTGCGTGATAATCCCACGCGTGGTGATCCAATGCGTGGTAGTCCAACGCGTGGTAATTCAATGCGTGGTAATCCCACGCGTGGTAATTAGGTGCGTGGTCTTCTCACGCGCGATATTGTCATGCATTGTATTCTCATGCACGATAGTGTCTCGCGTTACATTCTCTCACACGATATTGTCACGCGCTGTATTCTCAAACCCGATATTGTCACGCGTTATACTCTCCCGCGCGATATTGTCACGCGTCATACTTCCACGTACGATATTGTCCCGCATCCTATTCTCCTATTCGATATTGTCACACGTACTTCCACTCGTTACATCGTCATATATTTCTCAGCAATTATACAATAGAATTGGAGCTTATTCTGCGTCTTCAATTGATTTGAAACATAAAGCATCACCACCAATATTGGCCAATTTCCAAATTCGTTTTTACCACTGTTGATACAAAGTTCGGTGATCGAGGAAGCGTGAAGCTCGATGAATGGAGCAGTTTACTAATAATTTCCAGGGAACTTCGCAAGAAACATTCGTAACATTTCATTCTCGGACAACAAAATTCATAAATATTTCATGTTAGTTGCGTTTCGTTTTAAACGCACCGATTGCAATTTTATTCTTATAATGGGTTAAACCACCAGCTTCATCAAATATTCGTGTTTATTTTATATTCACAAAATATTATATAAATATTTATTTAATAGAACGATGTCCAATACGTGTATTCACATGAATCTCAAAATAGAATACAATAATTGGCGCGAAATTGCTGGTCCAGTGTTTGATGAGAATTCCAGAATTGAGTTATGGACATATAATGGAAGATTTAAAAACAATGGTTGGCGTTTAATGCTTCGTTTCTGCCGAATTTCGTTTGTTTTGAACCTACTGTTATTCAAAGTTCACAAGTGCAGAAATGGCGTTTGTCATTGTATACTTTGGCGATTCAATTTACGAGTAATTGAACGTCAGATATTATTTAAACATCGATTTTCAATGTACGTTAGCTTTTCCTTTCCAAACAATAATCCGTATCGCTGTGGATGCAGCATAAAAGGCAGGGTTTGAAAAGCTACCACGCGTTTTCTTTGCACCGATACGATCTATTATTCTCCCTTTATTCGTCATTACATCGCCCTACGGCCTCGTTGAAGCTGGAACCCGGAAACTGCTGTGGCTTCCCCTCTGTAAGTCGAGCTTCTTTTGTGGAGGAAAGAGGGGCTGCAAGGGTAAGAAATAAGAAATAAAAGCGCGATCGAAACGACAACGCGTAAACTCGAGATAACGATCTTCCTCGACGGTGGGAATTGAAGGCATTTATTAAACCGCAGCAACAATTAGGTCGCACAATTTAAAGGGCGTTCAACGCGATGGAGCTTCTTGACCGCCATTGTGAAAATTAGGCTACTGTGAAAGAGCGTAGAGAACACGATCCTTGACCTTTTAACGCGTTAAACACCTCAGCAGAAATTGTTCAAAGAAACTTACAAATATTAGGGCTCCACAAAAATTTCTATCCGTATCGAAAAAAATTTTGAAAGTAATTTTTAATAAATTATTGAACTAATATTGGTTTGCATAGCAATGGATGGAGTCAGACTTAACGAACATCGGTTTTCGTACGAAAAAAAAATTACAAGACCTTTGCAAGTCGTCATTTTCATTTAATGAGTACAAAATAATTACTGCAGTAACAGAAAATGTAAACCCAGAATGTTTTTAATAACGTTATAATTAAAGTTATGATGTAAATATGTACAATTTTTTCTCGCTCCAAATAACTGAAACAAAAGATACATATAACAGTTTTATTTTTTAATAATTGATTTTGTTGGAACATAAACGATGCCCGTTTTCCATTTTTCATGTAGGTGAACACGGAAATCCATAGAACATCCGGTCATAGGTGTCCATTCGTGGTTGTACAAATGCACCCACACAATTGCGGTGGAAAAAATCGGTTAGAAAGTGCTCGCCCACTCTCTGTTACATTGTTGGATTATGGAACGACTTTTTCGCGTGTTTTCAAAGAAAATAACTTTGTCCGGTGCGTGCGACATTTGAAACCTGCCCATTCCCTGATACATTCAAAGTACGCCGAATAAATATTTAAACAAGCGAGTTTTGTTTTTTGTTAGCGACCCAGTTTATCAAAATTGTTTTTTTACAATTACACACGAGCTCGGTGGACGGAAGTCCGTGAAAGCGAACGGCTTACATAGAATCGTAATTAATTAAATTTCCTGCGAAATATACTCTTTCTACGCAAAATAATATCGCATAGTTTAGCGAGATTGCTCTTTAAATTTGCATAACGGTGATGGCTTAGATCGGGTCGTAATTAATTAAACTTTCTGGGGATGTATAGGGTGGGTAAAAGTGAATTTGAATGGTGGGGTTCTGATTGGAGTGTTGTGTCGATGTGACCACGTGTTATTGCTGTGAGTTATTTCTACATGCTGAAATTTTCACGCGTTGTAATTCCTACGCGTTAGAATTTCCACGCGTTGTAATTTCTATGCGCTGTAATTTCCACGCGCTGAAATTTCCACGCGCTGAAATTTCTACGCGCTGAAATTTCTACGCGTTGTAATTCCCACGCGCTGTAATTTCCACGCGCTGAAATTTCCAAGCGCTGAAATTTCCACGCGCTGAAATTTCGATGCGTTATAATTTCTAGGCGTTGTAATTCCCACGCGCTGTAATCCCCACGCGCTGCAATTCCCAAGCGTTGCAATTCCCACGCGCTGTAATCTCCACGCGCTGCAATTTCCAAGCGTTGTAATTCCCAAGCGTTGCAATTCCCACGCGCTGTAATCCCCACGCGCTGTAATCCCCACGCGTTGTAATTTCCACGCGTTGCAATTTCTACGCGTTGTAATTACTACGCGCTGTACTCCCCACGCGTTGCAACTTCCACACGCTGCAATTCCCATGCGTTGCAATTTCTACGCGTTGCAATCCCCACACGCTGTAATTTCCACGCGCTGTACTCCCCACGTGTTGTAACCCCCACGCGCTGTACACCTCTATAACCTCCTTAAAACGCTATAACAAGAATGCATTAAAGTAATACAAGAATAAAGCAACTCTGAAACAATCCACAATATATCGCATTATTCCTACATGGTCATGACGCTCAAGCTGGTCAATGCGTGAGAATTGTTTCGCCTTCGTAGCATAAATCTGCTAAGGTATTCGCAAAAATAGACATCGTTTTGTTAGTCGAAGTAACAATATAGTATTTATAATTGTTACAAGAGATTGTCTCGTTGTTCAGTCGTTGCATCAGCATCTCAGCGTCAGTTGCAATCGCGTTATGGCATCGTGTGAAAGTTTAGCTATCTAGCTTTGCTACAACATAGATGACATCACGAACCGGATTGGTTCGATATCTCGATCCAGAAATCGGTTACGCTTCCGTGTATTATAGCTCTGTATCCTGCAATTACTTAGAAAAGGGATTATGGGAATTTTAAGATAAGATATCGACACAATTTTATTTCATCTTTTGGTACTTTTGCTATTGACACGTTTGGAGTAAAGAAAGTAAATTTTAAACGAATTTTACCCAAGTGGGTTTGAACGTGTAAGCTTCATATCTGCGTGATATCTGCATGTATAATGAAATGTGCATTTGGTTGCAGAATGGCTCCCACAGGGATGCCTCCAGTTACCGGTGTCCTACAGCCGCCGGCGGGTTCAACGTTGTCAGGGACCACCATGGCAAACTACAAGAAAAGTTGGTGGAGAAGAGTGGCCCCCTGCTTGGCATTTCTTGCCGCTTTTTCCACCGCCATGGCGTTGCTCCTCGTCTGGAGCGAAGCTGCAGCTTTGAGGTAACACTCGATGATTATATGGCACGTACATTTTACAGATCACCGCTCATTTGCAACTGGCATCATTTTGTACGCGAATTATGAATTACTCAGGAATTTTTTAATTACATTGCAATATGTATAACATCTTGTTTTACATTAAATAGGTTCTTCAACGCGTTACGTGAAACGTAATATTTAATAACAATATTCCATATAATATATTGTGTATCATGTATAATATTACTACATACCTTTACTCTTGGTTATTTAATAATTTCTCCTAGCAATGTTTGAAGTATTAAGAAAGTTTTCAAGATTAAATTGCAGGAGCATTTTATAAGCATCTGCAAAGGAGTTTCGTGTCAGCTACTTGAACGTCTACATTAATCGTGGGTTCAAAATAAATTGTAGTATTATAATTGGTCCTTAAAACAGTACCCAGATGTCGTCGAGTTTAGGCTTAATTTCTACCGCTGTAATGTCTTTTTAATGGAGGATTTTGTACTATCCTTATTTTATCACACTCGAAGAAACGTAAAAATTTTATAGCCTCGTAAAGAGCAGAACGTCTGAGCGTTCTAAAGCTATCCCAAGAGAGCTTCATTCCTTTTCTTTAATTTTTCCTTCGATCTCTTTTTATTGCTCTTTCCATTAAACTAGCTGTCAGCGACCGGGAATTAAGTATTTAAAGGGATCATCCCATCTTTTATTGCACTTCGGGAATTCCGATTCTCGTGTCAATTTACGGCAATCAGCGAAGAGTGGATTGCAAATATTTGCTGAGGAAGTAAATTGTATTTGGAGGATTTTTGTATGTGGCAATTTCACGCGTTAGAATTCGACGCATAGCAATTCCAAGCGTAGTAATTTCACGCGTTGAAATTTGAGGAATAGTAATTCCGCACGCGGCGATATAGCGCGAGGTAACTTCACGCTTGGCGATATAACGCGTGGCAATTCTACGCGTTAGAATTCGACGCATAGCAATTCCGCGCGTGGCAATTCGGCAATTGGCAATTCCATATATGGCGATATAGCGCGAGGCAACTCCACGCATGGCGATATAACGCGTGGCAATTCTACGCGTTAGAATTCGACGCGTAACAATTCCACGCATAGGAATTCGGCAATTGGCAATTCCACACGCGGCGATATAGCGCGAGGCAACTCCACGCATGGCGATATAACGCGTGGCAATTCCACGCGTTAGAATTCGACGCATAGCAATTCCACGCGTAGTAATTCCACGCATAGCAATTCGGCAACTGCCAATTCCACACGCGGCGATATAATGCGTGGCAACTCCACGCATGGCGATATAACGCGTGGCGATTCTACGCGTTAGAATTCGACGCATAGTAATTCCACGCATAGCAATTCGGCAATTGGCAATTCCACACGCGGCGATATAGCGCGAGGCAACTCCACGCATGGCGATATAACGCATAGCAATTCCACGCCTCAGAATTCGATGCATAGCAATTCTAGGCGTTAGAATTCTAGGAATAGCAATTTCATGCGTGGTGATATAGCACGTTGCAACCCCACGCGCGGCGATATAACGCGAAGTAACCTGACGCGTTGGAATTCGACACATAGCAATTTTACATGTAGTAATTCCAAGCATTGAAATTCAACTCATTGCAATTCGTCGCATTGGAATTCAACATATATTAATTCCATATGTGGCCATATAGCGTGAGGTAACTCCACGTATTGATATTCTAATCGTGGTAAACTAACGCATAGCGTTTCGACGCGGGGTAATTCCACAGGTTGAACTTCTAAGAGTTGTAATTTTATTTGACAATATAGTACGTAGTTCTCGCAATATATCGCCGATTCCTAGTAGCGGCGATATAATGCGAGTCAACGAATTTCAATGCCACAATGAATTTGGAAATTCAATTTCATTACCTTCAGATTGTTGCATTTCGGAAACTGATAAATGTACAATCAGAAAATTTTTCTGAAAATCTCAATTTCATTAAAAGACCGTAAACAATTGTACAGCGAAGAGATCCGGCGATATCAATTAATGTTTGTCTTGTGCAATCGTAAAACTAACGGCAGCAAAGCGGCCGTTCAAATATTTTCTCACACCATTCTGGTTTTAAAGCCCCACCGTATGCCTTATCGTATCGTTGTCATAGAAAGTCAAATATTTGATCGCGGCTTTCGGCAGAGATCCCTGACAAAACTCGAAGCTTAACGTCGAGAATCAACGATAATCTGATCGGTGGGAAATGATCGCGCACGTACAACGATAAGCAACGTGTCATTACGTCTCTCATTGTCTCGTACTCGTTAACACGTTTCAATTATGTATCCCGCAGTCCTTTGCAAACCGTACGCGCCTAACAACCTTTTCTTCTTTATCTTTAACGATCTACGAAGCCCGCACCGTGTTCTCGAGGAACGGTAAAGAAACGCGATTGTTAAACGGAGTTAATTACCAGGTCACTCGACGATTATCCTTTCCCTTTGTACGAGAGGAACGTGGCAAAAGCTGGCAACGTTACAAGCTTCCAAAGAAAGACTGCTTCCCGTGATGTTCATGAATATTGGATGCGCCAATCGAAGCTTTAATTGAACATTTTCCGAAAGCTGCAGCGTTTCTTTTATTCATCGTGTCACGGCCGATGCAAAGTCGTTCATTGTTCGGACCGCTTTCGATTCGAACGGGTAAATAAAAATAGCAGCGCGTCTCGGTCGTTGCATAAAATCCACGGTCTATTTGTGACGAAGAAGAGATTATCGAGACCATTATGGAGCTTTTTTAACGCTAAAACGAGCACCTCTCGAATCCCGATTACGTGCAATAGGAAGAGAAAAGAGATTTGGATACCCATCATTAGGTATTACAGCTGAAACGAGGAACATGTGCGCGTGTCAGACTTAATGAGAGCCGTTGTGTACATTAAAGCGGACGTTCTGTTCCAGGAGGCAAGCGTTTGACGCCAACATGACGAGGGACTATGTGTTGAACAGCGTCTCGATGGACAATCCGGAATTGGTTGCATATATTAGAGAAGTCCAATTGAAGCCCACCACTCAGCAGGATCCCTTGAACGCCACACAGACCTCGGAGGAGAGGTACGTGTCGAGTCTCACGGAAGGGAAACGCGAGGGTGTCTATGTGGAGTATATTAGCAGGGTAAGATCCATTCAACTCTTGTCTTTTTTCTCAAAATATAATTTCTTAACATTTCTCCCAATTTCATTTATGTTGACATTTGATGAGATAACAGGTCAGTATTAGGGAGGGTGAAGTTCACTCCCTTCACAGAGGGCGAAGTAAAGAAGGATTTAAATAAATTCATACTTGACCATGCATTGTCTTAAAATGTACATTATAAATTTTATAAAATAAATAACATCGTCTGTAACATTTTTAAAATTACTTCCAGCAGAATAGATTTATTGATATGTCTGCCATTTGCATTCTGTCATAAATAATAAGCAAAGACCTACGTAAATTTGCAAGAAGAATGCCTCAATTTTAAGTTCAGTCCAGATTATTCAATGTATAACAGTAATAAGCACTGTTACAGATAGGAGCAGTCTCCAGCACAGGTTGGTTAGAGAGAAACTTGAGTTGGAGAGGTGTGTTGATCCTGACAGATCCACGAAGCTTCTTCGAGGCTCACAGAAGCACCAGGAATCCAAAAACTAGAGTTCTTCACGCGTGTCTGAGTACCGATAAGGATACCAAAGAGGCAAATATTCAGAACTATCACTAAAAATTTCAAGGTTCATAGAAATCTTAATTGTCACGCTTCAAACTTGCAGATTACTTATCATCAAGAATCGGAAGTGCAAGTTACCAAGTTGGGTGAGGGTCCGAACAGTCTGGTGTCTCCGGACGAGGGTCTGCCCACTACCAGATTGAAATGCTTCCCTCTGTATAGTGTGCTGTTGGCGTACAGTGCTACCACTTTGGATTATTTGAGTCTCGATAGCCCTGATGCTCAGGATGGCCAGGTAAATGATATTGACGTCGTATTTTATTTAAGTGTTGTGCATTTGGGTGCGATTTTATTTAGGTTAGAATGTTGAGGGAGGAGCATGTTTGCAATTTGGGGGGATTGTGACGTTGGGGTATTTTGATATTTAATTTGTGGATTTTCAAATATTCAAATACTTGCATTCCCAATTTTCCATAATTCTAATTCCTCACATCCCTAATTTCCCATATTCCCAATTTTCCGCATCCTCAAATTCTCACATCCCCTAATCCCTACGTTCTCAAATTCTTCACACCCCCAAATTCCTACGTCCCCAAATTCCTACATATCTAAATTCCCACATATCCGAATTTCCACATCTCCAAATTCCACATATCCAAATTCCCACGTTCTCAAATTCCCACATATCCAAATTTCCACATTCCCAAATTCCTCACATCTCCAAATCCCTACGTCCCCAATTCCCCACGTCCCCAATTTCCCACGTCCCCAATTCCCCACGTCCCCAAATTCCCATGTCCCCAATTTCCCACGTTCCCAATTCCCCACGTCCGCAAATTCTCACATCCCCAAATCCCTACGTTCCCAAATTCCTCACATCCCCAATTCTCCTCATCCCCAATTCCCCACGTCCCCAATTCCCCACGTCCCCAATTTCCCATGTCCCCAATTTCCCACGTTCCCAATTCCCCACGTCCGCAAATTCTCACATCCCCAAATCCCTACGTTCCCAAATTCCTCACATCCCCAATTCTCCTCATCCCCAATTCCCCACGTCCCCAATTCCCCACGTCCCCAATTTCCCATGTCCCCAATTTCCCACGTCCCCAATTTCCCACGTCTCCAATTCCCCACGTCCCCAAATCCCTACATCCCCAAATCCCTACAACCCCAAATACCTGCATCCCCTAATCCCTCATCCACAAATTCTCAAATCCCAAATCCCTCATCCCCAAAATCTCCAAATCTGCTCAACTGTCCCTCCCACCCCTACGTTCCAATTTCCCAAAACCATCCTACCTGTCCAACAAAATTAAAAATCTGAAGTTTCACAGGGTGAAAGCTTTCATCAGTTATCCAAACTAACAGAATTCTATCGATTGCAACACACAGGTGCTCGACACGATTCCCTGGGAAACAACGAGAATATCCGTGCTGTCCATCCGCTGGAGTCCTCATCACAGCGAAACGGAGACGAAAAACCTGATCGATAAAATGACGAGCAGAAGATACAAGCTGATGTACACGACGGACACCGGGAAATTGATCTTCTTGTACAACGCGTTGCTTAAGATTTGATCCTTGACTTAGGACGCTTTCAACCATGGACCGTTCTACGTTCATCGTGGCTTTCGTTTTTTTTAAAAGCTCGTACAGCGAACGAGAAATATTTTGTTTCGAACAAATCAAAGATCGTTCAGGTTACTGGTATCATCGCACGAAACGCGATCAGCGAAGGGTTGCTGTTTCGTCGTTGAGAATCTCTGAACGTTGCTTTTATTTTTCGTGGAAACACGTTTCTTTTCGCTACAACGTAGAACAAGCCAAGACTTCTTATTTTTTCTATTCGAACTCGAGCGGGAACTTCTTTTTATTTCGCCGTCGGTTCAATGCGTGACTAAGACTGAGAGAATTATTTTTGTTCGCGAAGCATTTTAACCCTCGATAGACATTTCATTTTATTTACAATATCTGCTATTTTGCTGTTAAATATTTTTTGATAAACTTTGCTTTGAAAATAAGCTTTTTGTCGAATTAGATCTCTGGGTCTCCGTAACTGTGTCTCCGTCGAGGGTTAATTTATGTTCGATTATGCTCTCTTCTAGCCTACGCCTCACGGAAGAGTAAACCAAAACGAAGAGAAAGTGAACGTATTTAGTTTCGTACTCGATATTTTAGCGTAGGTTTTAACGTTAAGAAGTTGTCTGATGTAGATACCACGACATTTTACGATGTAGATTTTAATATTCGTCAAAGATGGCGGCAGACTCGTGGACCGTTTTCTTCCCACCAAAATCGATGTTCACTCGCGGGTAAACGAGCACTGTCGCAGTGATAATCGATCATTTACTCTGATTACCTACACGGGCCTTATTAGCACGTAAGATATTTAAGATGTTAAGTGAACTATTCGCTTTGCAAGTTATACGAAAATTTGCGTATTGATATTTCAAATTATTGCTGTCGGTATTCATATTTAATTGTGTATCTTTATGTACTTTTCGTAATTTCTGTAAAAAGATCATTTAATTCTTTGAACAACCTCAGAGATTATTTATTCCTTTCTTTGTATGACGCTTATTAGTGTTGTGAGTTTGGTATTTTCAAGGGTGGGGAATTTGGGGGATAGGAAATTTGGGGGTTTGGAAATTTGGAACTTATCAAATTAGAGATTTTGGGAATTTGGAAATTTGGGGGGTTGGAAATTTGGGGGCTTGGAAATTTGGGGGCTTGGAAATTTGGGGGCTTGGAAATTGGGGGGGTTGGAAATTTGGGAGCTTGGAAATTTGGGGGCTTGGAAATTTGGGGGCTTGGAAATTTGAGAGCTTGGAAATTTGGGGGCTTGGAAATTTGGGGGCTTGGAAATTTGAAGGCTTGGAAATTTGAGAGCTTGGAAATTTGGGGGCTTGGAAATTTGGAACTTATCAAATTAGAAAACTTGGGACTTCGGAAATTTGCAAACTTGGGAATATAGAAATTTGCAAACTTGGAAAATAAAAATGTGCAAACTTGACAATATAGAAACTTGCAAACTTGACCGCACATAAACTTGCAACCTTCAAAACACAGAAATTCCCACCCCCAAAATACAAAAATCTAAAAATTCAAGAGCTTAAATTTGAAACTCCAATTCCACAAAAAATAAGTAACACTGTAAAGCGAAGAGTTCACGATAACACAAGAGCAAGCCGAGGCGCCATGCACGCGACACTCACGACACAATTACAACAGCGCGACATTTAATTACGAATGGAAGTTCACCGGGTTTATCAGGCCGTTTTGCGCGATTACCGATCGAAACGTGGATTTATTTTCAGCCCGTGTTCACCGTTCGATTCGATAATTACGAGGAGACAACTATTATCGTTCCTATTTTGATACAGAATGAGCGTCGTTATGGACAGCTATTGGTAATCGAGCAGATACGGAGAGAGTTTAATACATACAATATATAGAGTTTACGATTGCGATCCGTGACCCGTTACTATCGGAGTTCGAGAAATGCTGATATTGTGCATACGTGTAACCTGTACTTGCATACTCGTTTGTGTGTGGATGGTAGGAAATATCTTTTGGTTAACAGCGAAGTGTTTTATATTTTGTTTTTGTTGTTTGGAATTTGGGGGATTGGGAGTTTGGACATTTTGATATTTAATTTGTGGATTGTCAGATATTTAAGTTTGTATATTTGCAAATTCTCAGGTTTCCAAGTTTCTACTTTTCCGAATTCGTCACATTCCAAATTTTCTTCATATCTAATTCCCCACATCCCCAAATTCGTACGTTCCCAAATTCCTCATATCACCAATTCCACTCATCCCCAATTCCCTACATCCCCAGATTCCCACATATCCAAATTTCCACATCCCCAAATTCCCACATATCCGAAATTCCATATATCCAAATTCCCACATATCCAAATTCCCACATATCCAAATTCCCACGTCCCCAAATTCCCACATATCCAAATTCTCACATATCCGAATTTCCACATCCCTAAACTCCCACATCCCCAAATTCCCACATATCCAAATTCCCACATATCCAAATTCCCACATATCCAAATTCCCACATATCCAAATTCCCACATATCCAAATTCCCACATATCCAAATTCCTACATCCCCAAATTCCCACATCCTCAAATCCCCACATCCCCAAATTCTCACAACCCTAAATCAGAATCCTAGTTTCGTGTCTATGAACCCCAGAGGCTCCACAAAACTCAGAATACTTAACAATCCTCAAAATCTTAACAAATCCACAACATTCTAAGAAATATTAGATGTTAAGGTTGTGAGTTTTGGAAGTCCATAAAACTTAGAAAGCGTAACCTATGAACCCTAGAGAGTACCTCAAACTCCCCACGTTTTCGTGTAGAACACAGATAAATTACACCAATAGATTGGTGTACTTACCAATAGATTGGTATACTTCTTCCTCCACACCTGCTATTAACCAAAGGATGATTGAGCTGCACGCTACCGTACTTACAAGGTACAAGTATCGATCACTGTCTTCTTTCCTTAATTTCAGATCTTATTTATTCTATTGTCGAGTATGATGTATCCAAAAATAACTTTAATTTTTTGTAACAGAACTGTGTGATATATGTAGATCTGTATGGACTTTCTGAACAGAAAGTTGGTATGAAATTGTTTGTCATTCGAACCGATTAAAGTCTTGAAATTATTTTGGGTGTTTTATTCTTGCCTCCTGTTCCCTTCGGTTATTAAAGAATGCGTTAAATTAATAATGAGAGTGTATTAAAATAAATAAATTTTGTTCTTTCTTGATAAGGAAGGAGAGAAATCTTTTCGAAGATAATAAAGGTCTCACAAAATTTCATACACCGATACATTTTGTCAATTACGGTGCATGGACGTACGACGCGTGGAAATACGGCGCGTGGAAGTATGGCGCTTGGAAGTATAACGCGTGGAATTACTATGCGTGGAATTACAACGCGGGAAGTATGGCGCATGGACGTACGACGCGTGGAATTACTACGCGTGGAATTACGGTGCGTGGAAGTACGGCGCGTAGAGTAATGGCGCGTGGAAGTACCACGCGTGGAATTACTACGCGTGGAATTACGGTGCGTGGAAGTACGGCGCGTAGAGTAATGGCGCGTGGAAGTATCACGCGTGGAATTACTACGCGTCGAACTACGGTGCGTAGAGTAATGGCGCGTGGAAGTACCATGCGTGGAATTACTACGCGTGAAATTACTACGCGTGGAATTACGGTGCGTGGAAGTACGGCGCGTAGAGTAATGGCGCGTGGAAGTACCACGCGTGGAATTACTACGCGTGGAATTACAGTGCGTGGAACTACAGCGCGTAGAGTAATGGCGCGTGGAATTACTATGCGTGGAATTACGACGCGTAAAAATTCAATTTTCTCGTAGAACGTTTTCTCGCTTTCCTTGAACCTTGTCGCGGTTCTGTCCTGACCACGCGTTCAATTTCCCATGCAATAAAAACCACGAGAAATGTTGCAATTTACATATCAGTAACATTATAATTCTATCAAGAACATACTCTTCGTTTCAACAAATCGCACGATAGATAAACATTTTTCCAAGTCATGTACACACTATCGGAAAAGAAGCGATGGAGGTTGAACGCGAGTTTTTACCTCCATTCGAGGCCTCAGATCCTGAAAAAACACGAACGTAAAAAGACGATCGAAAGTGACTCCATATTCCCGCGCGAAAATAAATATTTTTAAAATCATTTTACGATTGCTGCTCGTTGATCGACTATTTATAGACTACCTCTTTCAAGGAGAAGAACCAACACAATTTCTCCTTGTCAAAACTTACAGGATATCCGGGATGTTGGGGCTGCTACGTCGTACACACGTCTCCTTCAGCGACAGCTTCGTACAAGGAGAAACAGGAAATGGCGAAGAAACTCGTTTCGTGAATTTCATGCTTCTGCGAGAGTGCGAATGACAAATTTCAGCTATGGTAATTAGAAATACTTAATGACTGAAGATTCTTTGTAATCTTTTGTTCTATTGTTCTTGATGGAAAGAATATTTTTGATGAACTGTTAAGATTCATTTTTGGAAAAAATATTTATGATGAACAGTTAAGAATCATTTTTGGAAAAAATATTTATGATGAGCTGTTAAGATTCATTTTTGGAAAAAAAATTTATGATGAACAGTTAAGATTCATTTTTGGAAAAAATATTTATGATGAACAGTTAAGAATCATTTTTGGAAAAAATATTTATGATGAACAGTTAAGAATCATTTTTGGAAAAAATATTTATGATGAACAGTTAAGAATCATTTTTGGAAAAAATATTTATGATGAACAGTTAAGAATCATTTTTGGAAAAAATATTTATGATGAACAGTTAAGAATCATTTTTGGAAAAAATATTTATGATGAACAGTTAAGAATCATTTTTGGAAAAAATATTTATGATGAACAGTTAAGAATCATTTTTGGAAAAAATATTTATGATGAACAGTTAAGAATCATTTTTGGAAAAAATATTTATGATGAACAGTTAAGAATCATTTTTGGAAAAAATATTTATGATGAACAGTTAAGAATCATTTTTGGAAAAAATATTTATGATGAACAGTTAAGAATCATTTTTGGAAAAAATATTTATGATGAACTGTTAAGATTCATTTTTGGAGTAAAGATTAATGATGAATGAACTGAATTATGAATGAATTAAATGAATTATTGAAATTCATTTTTGGAAAAAATATTAATGACGAATGAACTGAATTAATGATGAATTAAATGAACTATTGATATTCGTTTTTGGAAGGAAGATTAATGATGAATGAACAAAATTAACGAATGAATTAAATGAACTATTAAAATTGATTTTTAGAAGAAACATTAATGACGAACAATTAAGTTTAACTTTTGTAAGAAAGCTGCATCAATTTGCAGAATTTTCGGAAATGACTCTCCCAAGTCCTCCAGATTTCCCGAGGACGTCTTGGAAGATTTTCAATTTCTGGTCTAATTGATCCCAGTAACGAGGTAAATTTTCCGCGAACTTTTCCCGTTTGTCGTCGAATGCAATTTCTGCACGCGTTTCTAGCACGCTTAACCAAGATTACTCTATCGATTCGCCGGCGTAATCTCGTCGCTAAATCTGTCGTTTCTGATAACGATCTGTCGTAAGGTACATAATAACCTTGATTTCTAACGTTTGCCAGTGACTAATCCTTCCTGTCATTTTTTCGCAAAATCGTACCATCGCTGTGATAAAAATTGTAAACGTATTCTTATCAGTCGCGATCAAACCGTGATTTACTGGTGGTTTTATTGCAATTTTTAGCGGAGTTTGATAACTTTACTGACTGATTTATCAATGCTATATTACTCGGTATTAAAGTATATCTTTCTGCTTCTGTTACTGTAAGCAACAAAGTACGCGATTTTTAAAAAGAATGGTCCAGTCAACGTTGGTTACTCTGCTTGTGACAATCTATTTGTTGAACATGATCGTTTTCGTTCGATGATAAACTTTATCTGGCTCGAATTGTTAAGCTCCTTGATTTATGGGTATTAAACTGTCGCTGAGATAAGAAGCTGAAATCAAATGGAAGACGTTTATGTTTGCGACTGTGATACTCTTAATCTCCTGTAATTTCGACTTCTTTTGTTTGAGGAAGTAATGGGAAAAGGAGAGGCGAAATTTATTTTAGTTGGTCCTTGACAAGTTTTTTTTCATTTCTATGCGCTGTATGCCCTCGCGCCCTAATTCCACGCGCCGAAATTTTCACGCGCCGTATTTCCACGCGCCGAAATTTCTACGCGCCCTAATTCCACGCGCCGAAAATTCTACGCGCCCTAATTTCACGCGCCGAAATTTCTACGCGCTCTAATTCCACGCGCCGAAATTTTCACGCGCCGTAATTCCCACGCGCCAAATTTCTACGCGCCCTAATTCCACGCGCCGAAATTTCTACGCGCCCTAATTCCACGCGCCGAAATTTCTACGCGCCCTAATTCCACGCGCCGAAATTTCTACGCGCCCTAATTCCACGCGCCGAAATTTCTACGCGCCCTAATTCCACGCGCCGAAATTTCTACGCGCCCTAATTCCACGCGCCGAAATTTCTACGCGCCCTAATTCCACGCGCCGAAAATTCTACGCGCCCTAATTTCACGCGCCGAAATTTCTACGCTCCGTAATTCCCATGTGTCATAATTCCACGCGCCGAAATTTCTACGCGCCCTAATTCCACGCGCCGAAATTTCTACGTGCCGTAATTTTCACGCGCCATATCTCCACACTCCGTAATTTCCAAGTAATTTATATTAAGGAATATAAATTCTTTTCAGACTCGAAGCTGTCGCTCTCGCGTCTGCGGATGCGTAATCCTCACGCTCTGATTAGTTCATGTTTTTCCTTAATAATTTCAAAACGAAGCTTCAAACGAAAATCTTATTCAGAATCACGTCAGCTACCATTTCAGGGACCTACAGTAATTGTGAAAGACCCTGTATGTTACAGATGAATGTTGACAATGTACTTTTGATGTATTTTGAAGCTGCGGTATCGATTCAACACCGGTAATGTATTGCGAGGATAATGTATTGCGAGTAGTTACCTCCGCCACGCAATAATTCAATATATAATTACCAAATAACGAGCCTCATGTGTACCTTATCAGTGAAAATTATTGCGGCTGCGAATAATGGCTACACCGTGGCTTGACTGCGGTTTGCCCTGGCTAATTGCCTAACCAAGATAGTTTTGCTCCCCACAAATTGCAAAATGCACCGTTCTACGAAATCTCGTCGAAATGGGTCTAAAATTCGTAATAGCCGGATTTCTCTTCCATAACCGACGTTTTTGCCATCTCTCCAGATTTCACCGAATAAATTCTTCATTCGGCAAATCTCGTAAGCTTTCGGCAATTATGGAATTATGGAAGATTAAAATTGTAATCGATATTTGCGAGTTACGTAGAATATGAATTTTTCTAGACTAAAGGACAGGAGAAGGACGGTTATCGTAAACATGTTATTCGTTGCAATGAAAACCAACGATCAACACATCGGTATCGATATCAGTGGAAATTGAAAAAAACGAGTCCCACCGTGTTGGAAACTCTAAAACTGATCGAGTATTTCAATTATTGTCTCGAATTTCAATTACGATCGTCTTCGACGAATGTGTACTAACCTACGTTCTAAAAGATGGTTTTGCAATGCACTTATTTTTGTGTGAAGTGTTACGATTACAACGATAACGAGATAACTCAATATTGTGTTTACATATATTTATCTGAACAAAAATTACGTTGCAACTAACAAACGTACGAATCCCCTTTTACAAAAAGATAAACGCTTCACTAAATGTAACAGATATTAGGATTTTGTAGGACAGGTATTAAACCTACGTTTAACAGCTTTTACCTTTCGACCATGTTAACAAACGCTACAGAGGCTTCGTAAAAAATGCAAAATCCGAATGCATCGCGCGTAGATTTAAAAGCGCTTTTCATTTCTGCCATTCTATGTAAAAATTCCACGTTTGAAAATTGAACTGTCTGTCAAATGAACATTGTTATCGGTTATCAATGATACGACAGCATTCCACTGGTTTTTGGAAATTTATTCGCAATTCGTATTCGTCCTCGCGCTTCGCTGATTCTTCGTATTTCAGTCTTAAAGTGGACGTCACAAAGTGAAAGCTCGAATACCTTTCCAAGCTCTTTTCAACACTTGATGGCTGTAAATCGCAGGAGCAAGCATCCAATTCCCGGGATCGGTATGTCTTTGAAAGGATAGAAGAGTGTCTGGGAAACGCATATTTCTGGAAAAATTGACGGAAGTGCAGATACGAAGATTTATATTTTATAATAATTATTTCTACGCTTGGAGTTATGAATCGTCGAATTACTGTGCGATGAAGTACGACGAGGTGAATTATTATGTGGATTTACGGCGTGTTGAATTACTACGCGTGGAAGTATGGCGCGTAGAGTAGTGGTGCGTGGAATTACTACGCGTGGAATTACAGCGTATAGAGTAATGACGCGTGGAATTACTACGCGTGGAATTACGGTGCGTGGAAGCACAGCGCGTAGAGTAATGGCGCGGGGGATTACTACGCGTGGAATTACGGCGCATAGAGTAATGGCGCGTGGAAGTACCACGCATGGAATTACTACGCGTGGAATTACGGTGCGTGGAAGTACCACGCGTG